AAAAATTGCAATAATATCGTATCGTGCGTTAAGTATTGTGATAATATCGTATCGTGGGATGTATGGTGATTCACACCTCTATTGTTTACTAAATGTTTGAGGTGTGAAATAAACCGCAATGGAGCAAAATATGGGTGTGTGTGGTTGGAGGTTTATGCAGAGGGGAGGGGGGTTAGGTGGTCGGGGGGCGCGAACATTTTTCCTGTAAAACAAAGGGGGGCCCAGCAAAAAGAGTTTGGGAACCACTGATCTACGTTATGATCTACGTTACTTTAGCTCTCTGATTTCTTCTTCAAGGTCAGATAAGGTCAAACCATAAAATGCCTTTAATCTTTAAAACTGTGCTTAAAGTCCTACTGACATTGTTTAGATTGGCAACATTTAGGAAATGATACTGGTATAGAGCGACTGTAAATATCACATCATAGTTGGCAAATATCAAGTCATGTTTTACCTCTGATGATACTTTTAGATTTCACATCTGCCTTTCTTTCAAGTTGTCCTCAAAATATGTCATATCTTTAAAGAGTGTGTTGTCAAGAGAAAGAGAATGAGCTCCATAGTTAGAAATGTACTGTAGGAAAATATTATATAATAAGATGAACTTATTCATGTCCAGTTATTTACAAATCAATGCCTGTTATCGTTACCTACTCCTACAAAATGTTTGTGTAAAGCTAACATGTGTCATGCTACCCTTTTTACTACAAACTTCTTAAAGTAGGTTTAAAAAGAACAAAGAAAACAACGTGAATATATACGAAATGTAATACAAATACTGCCCAGAGAGTGAGCTGCCTTGGTGGAGGTTAGTGGGGTTTTTTTTTGTTTGTTAATTTTTTGTATTTGGAGTTTCTGTAAACCAGAAAATACAAGCAAGAATTTCAGTTTAAAGAAAGAAACAACTTTGTTGTAAAATATGTTTTGATTTCCAAATTCTCATAAAAACCACAAGCCTCCACCCGAAAACTAAGCACAGCTTCTCAAGATGAGTAGTAATTAGATTTTGGTCTCTTTCCCTCTCCCTCTAAGGCAAAGATGCCTTTTGATGCTAACAAGCTTTACTGCAGTGAAATCCTGGCCATCTTGCTGCAGAACAATGACAGTAAGTGTATCTCACTAAATGGTTTGTGGATTCCAAATGATATTAGTTTATCTTTCATATTTTTGCCAACCTATTTCCATTCTTTTCATTCCTTTTTTCTGCGCGTTTAGGCTTAGTTATGGTCTGTCGCAGCCTTATCTTATTGTGCCCTTTCCGTGCTCGCTTTTCCCTCCCTACATATTTTTCCTTAGTGTTACCTTTTCTTTTCTCTCCCTTTCTTTTTCCTTCCACCACTTTATGACTTCATGTTACCTTTTAATGTTTCTCGTTCTCATTGTGCATTTGCCGTCTTTCCCGCTAACACTAAAAACCCAGTAGAGCCTCACATAGCCACAGAACTATCTGGTCCTTAAACAAGTAATCGTTAATGGTACAAGTTACATTGACATTCAGCTGGAGTTGTCTCATTTTAAGCTCACCACCCTTCTCATTCACTCGCGCTGCCTCCATCCTATTCCACTTACCTTTCGAACACAAAATATAATGTAAATCTTAAAAAAAA